ATGTAGGACCGGGGTTAGTATTGGCCGAGTCTGGAGTATTAACTCGGGTTCGTTGGTTTGGTCTGTCACAAAATCTCTATATGTAACCGGTTTGGGTCTAGATTGCTAAGTTTCATTATGCTTTTGCTTGTTAACCAGATCATGATCATAGACTACAAGCTAACATATCCTAGTGGAACAGCTACAGCGGTTTTAATCAACGGTTTCCACACTTCTAAAGGCAATAAAATGGCAAAGTATTAACCCGAATTTTTGGCATTCTCTTGCGTTCTTTCGCCACGTTTCTAAAGTTTCTGATTTGAATAGAACTATTTGCTCTGTTTTCTATGCAGGAAACAAGTGTTTGGGTTTGTAAAGTACTTCTCATTCAGCTTCATTTGGTCTTTCTTTCAATGGTTCTTCTCTGGTGGTTCAGATTGCGGATTCATTCAGTTTCCAACTTTCGGATTAGAAGCTTGGAAGAACTCGTGAGTATAATTCTTAGTTTGATTTATTTGTACTGATATATACTTAATCTTGATGATCTTGAAAAAAAAATACTTCACAGATTCTACTTCGACTTTAGCATGACATATATTGGAGCAGGAATGATCTGTTCCCACATTGTAAACTTATCTTTGCTTTTTGGCGCGATTCTGTCTTGGGGAATCATGTGGCCTCTCATCAAAGGTCTTAAAGGAGATTGGTACCCATCAACTCTGCCTCAAAGCAGCATGAAGAGTCTCAATGGTTACAAGGTTCTAAACAAACACAAGAAAACTAAATTATCTACAATAAACACTTTTGCTCTCTCTTTCGAGCAATTTTGAACATAACTTGTACATGTTTTCTACAGGTGTTTGTATCAATCTCATTGATTCTCGGAGACGGGCTTTACCATTTTATCAAGATTCTTCTTGACATAGCAAGAAACATATACTCCAAGTTAAAGAATCGTCACTCTGGGAAATCTAGTAAGTATATATATACTCACCAAGAAACTATAAAAAGTCATCATTTTTTCGTATCTGATTATAAGATCGAAATGTAAACCGCAGATTCGGAGAAAGATAAACAATCTATAGCAGATATTAAAAGAGATGAGATCTTCGTAAGAGACAGCATTCCTCTATGGGTTGCAGCAGTTGGATACGCAGCTTTCTCTGTCGTATCGATCATCGCGATACCTCTAATGTTCCCAGAGCTCAAATGGTACTTCATAGTCGTAGCTTACATGTTAGCTCCATCGCTAGGTTTCAGCAACGCTTATGGAGCAGGGCTCACAGATATGAACATGGCTTATAACTATGGTAAAGTCGCTCTGTTCATCTTAGCCGCTATGGCCGGGAAAAAAGACGGTGTAGTCGCCGGTTTAGTCGGTTGTGGACTGATAAAATCGATCGTGTCGATTTCCTCTGACCTAATGCACGATTTCAAGACCGGACATTTGACTCTGACTTCACCGAGGTCGATGCTTGTGAGCCAAGCAATCGGGACAGGGATCGGTTGCGTCGTGGCTCCTCTCACTTTCTTTTTGTTTTACAAAGCTTTCGATGTGGGAAACCCTGAAGGAGAGTATAAAGCTCCTTACGCTTTGATTTACAGAAACATGGCGATTCTTGGAGTGGAAGGTTTCTCTGCTTTGCCTCACCATTGTCTTCAGCTTTGCTATGGGTTTTTCGCCTTCGCCGTGGCGGCGAATCTCGTTAGGGATTTGTCGCCGGAGAAGATTGGGAAGTGGGTCCCACTTCCGATGGCTATGGCGGTTCCGTTTCTTGTCGGAGGGTATTTTGCTATTGATATGTGTGTTGGGAGTTTGATTGTGTTTGTGTGGAATATGAGGGATCGGGTTAAAGCCGGTTTAATGATACCGGCGGTTGCTTCCGGTTTGATATGTGGAGATGGTCTTTGGATTTTGCCGTCGTCGGTTCTTGCTTTGGCCGGAGTGAGACCTCCGATCTGTATGAGCTTCATGCCGAGTAAATAGTTTAAGTTTAAAGAAAGTATAGAGGTTTTATGCAATTTTTGTGTTGCGTAAAAATAGTTAAAGAAAATCTTTAGGAATTGCGGAAAATAAAATAGAGTTTGAGAAGTTTATAGTGGGATTCATAACTGTATCATGTATCTATTATATAAAGAGTGAGTTGAGTCTCACAAATTTGACACCTAAGCACTCATCCTTTTGACACATCATCTTCTAAATAATTATTAAATTTTTATTATTTAATAATTTTTAAAAATCTTTTCTTTAAATAAGCATCAATTTATTACTTAAATCATTGAATTCAGTGATAAACATACGTTTATTAAGATAATTCTCCTAAAAAATGTGATTCATCTTCCTTAAATTAACTAATGTATATATCTTTATATACAAGTTATTTTAGTTAGATTACTGAACTAAAAAAAAAATAGGAGCAGTCATAAGAGGTCGAAAGAGAGAAAAGGAGAAATAAGAAAAAAAAGAGAGGAGAAAGAGTCGTGAAAGGAGGAAGAAAAGAGAAGAGAGGACAAGCCGTGAGTAGGAGAGGGAGAGAGAGGAGGAGATTAATGACAAAGAAAAAAAAAGAAACAGAGAGAGCACATAAACACGAGGAAGGAGAACAAGTGTTAGGAAATCAGAATAGATGACGTCGCAGAGAAAGAATGGACCATCACCACCGCAAAAGAGAAGAATTGAGAAAGGTATATATGTTTGTGGAAGTAAGTAAAAAAGGAATCAAAGCAAATCAAAATGACTATTAGATACGAAATCAATTACTAACTCAACAGAGAATCGGCGATGACCTATAAAAGCTTTTGATTTCTTTATTTCAGTAGACATCAAAATATCCATGCGAAGGCTAAGCAGCCACTATACAATGTTCCTTTGCAAGGAAACCGCCAATGGGGGTCTATATTCTATGAGTCTAATTGTGATTATGTGTAGAATATACTAGCTGGGTCAATAAGTAGCAGTGTTATTGTATAGCTTAAGAGTTCTTTAATTATAATTTACCAAAAGTTTATTTATTTGCTTATAATATAAAGTTTATGTAAATGTTTATGAATATGTATGACAGTTTGTTTAGCTAATTAATGGTTAAAATAAAAATTCTACTAATCATTTTAATACATTCCATAGAAATACTTATAACCTACTAAACAGAGGTAAATATATTTTACCATGTTCAAAAAAAGAAAGATTGTTGAAAGTTTGACTCCAATCATGTAGGAACTAAGTGGAACAAAATATGAAGAAATGAGTAGTAAAATGTTGTCGTTTAAAGAGTCTATTTGAGTGTGTGTGTGTGTGTGTGGTGTTTAGAAAGATTGGATTAGGATTGTGTTTTGGTGACTTCATTGGCAAATGTTATCGTATAATTAGGTTTTTTAAGAAAATTACAAATCCAAAATACAAAAAGAATCTTCAAAGTAGATTTAGAGTAATATTTTAATAATGCAACGATAATTTTTAACAATGTGAAATAAATAACAACTATATCACTGTGGTTAAGAGAGAGCTCAGAAGTTTTTATAGGAGTTGAGAGAAGTGAGCAAAACGTGATATAGTTTAAAATATATCAGTGCATTCGTGTTAAACTATAGATTTTTAAAACAATTTAATATTTAAAAAAATATTTCTATTTTTAAATTTGTACAACAGAAATAATAGATTTTTATGCAGTATTAAGGTCACTAATTTGTTGTGAAATTTAAAAAATACATTACAAAAAAGACCCGCGTGTATACGCTGGTATTCATCTAGTATAAAATAAAAACGTCTCAAATAAATTGTCACATTTCTTGAAAATTGCAACAAGAATAACAACAACAAGATTAGAGTTCAATTATTATATATTTTTCTATAACATGAAACTTATTTACCTACACATCAGTCTACATTTTATATTTTGAATCATATATAATATATGTTCCGTTTTATTGAAGCTAATGATACGATTGTATTGCTTCTTCAGTCTAAAAATAAATTTATATGAAACTTTAGATTTTAAATCCGACCTTTAGAACATGTTTGTTTGTTTATCTGAAAAATGCATTTAGATACTACATTCAAATGTTATATCTGAATGATGCATTCGGATGATGCTTTATATAAATAAATCGTTTAACATACATTGATTAAACGAACTTGTCTTAACTGAAATCGTTATCTTGAGGGTTTGATTTAGAATGCATCTAGATGCATTTGGATGGAGCATCGGATATACAAATAAAATATAGTAAAAACTCTATAAATTAATAATGTTGGGACTTTGATATTTTATTAATTTATAGAGTTATTATTTTATAGATTTCAAAGAAAGAAATATTTTTTATTTTTTATCAATTTTGAAAGAGATTTTTTTAAAAAAATTATAATCTTTAAATAATTATTTCTAATATTAAAGATGATTTCTAAGAAAATTTTAAGTTAAAATAAATAAAAACATCACTAAACTTATATTTTAATAAATTATTTTATTTATATATTTATATCAAAATTTATTTATGGTAATTATTAATTTATGATATTAATGAGACCATATATTTACATAGAAATTTTGCTAAAATTATTATCTTATTATCTTATCGAATCGAGTTATATTTTGAACTGTCCCAATTCGGGATAAAAATTTATTAATTTATAGCGTTTATTAATTTATTGAGTATTAATTTATAGAGTTTCTACTGTAATTGGAACATGAAAAAAGTTGAAAGCAAAAAAAAAAAATCAGAAAAGGAACAAAATATTTTAAGAGTTTCTTTACTTTTTTTTCCCAATTTGCTAAACTTTTTATTTCCTGTTTTGTAGTAAAATATTGGAAACAGCACACTGAAACCACACGTCATATTTTATCGAGAAAAGACACGAATTTCTTGGTACGACGTGGACCAAAAAATAAGATCTCCCCTAAAGTAAAAAACAAATTTCAATATGATTTTGCTCAAAGCCCAATTCGATTGGTTTAAAAGTCAAAGTGCAACTTGACCAAAACTACCCCTGGTCATATATCCCATTGGTAAATTATTTCAGGGTAATTTGGTATTTTTCGCTAGAAGTTGAACACACAATTAAGTAGGTGAGGAACCCCATTTTCTTCCGTCTTTTGCTGATTTGAGCTTTGGAGCAATCGAAAATCTGAATCTGAAAGCGGAAAGATCCCACTTTTCTTTCACAAATCCGTAAGTTAACTATCACAATCATCTCTCTGATTATTTCGATTTTAAATCTATTAAAGCTGTTTGTATCTACTAATCTAGATTATCGTAGATTTGACTCGCTCTGATGTGTTCTTGTTTGCAGTTTAAGGAGAGATGGCTTCAGATAAGAAGATCCTAGCTTTCGAAGAAGTCTCACAGCACAACAAAACCAAGGATTGTTGGCTTATTATCTCCGGCAAGGTTAGATCTCGTCTCTTTGTTTGAGAAATCTCTCTGGGTAGATTAAAGACTCGACTTTTCTTGTTTGAAATCGGGTTTTGTGTAGCTTCTTCTTCTCTTTCATATGAGTAAGCTTCGATTCTCAAGTTTAGTATTTGGCTGGTGCCCAGAAGATTTTTCCGGTTTATAACTATTACTGCTTAGAAGTTTTATCAAGCCCCTCACGATTTAAAATCACAATCTTCATTTCTAAGCAAATTTGATGTAATTTTACATTGCTTGAGCATGGTTTGTCTTTTGTAATATTGATTCACTCTGGAGAAGCATGGTTTGTGTGTAGTGCTAATAGTTAGTCATTGATTTCTACTTGATTATGATCCGTGATTGTTGCGTTCTTGAGGCTGATCTAGTGTCCAATAATGATTAGTGTTTGGTTCTTTAAACTTTTGAGTGTTCAGGTGTATGATGTGACCCCATTCATGGATGATCATCCTGGAGGAGATGAAGTGTTGTTGTCTTCAACAGGTTGGAGAAAGATCTTTATGATATATCAGTGGCTTCTCTCTGTTCTAATGCGGATTTGATAACTGCTTTTTGCAGGGAAAGATGCTACGAATGATTTTGAAGACGTTGGTCACAGCGACACCGCGAGGGACATGATGGAGAAATACTACATTGGTGAGATCGATTCGTCTAGTGTTCCAGCTACGAGGACATACGTTGCGCCGCAGCAACCGACGTACAACCAAGACAAGACACCAGAATTCATTATCAAGATCCTGCAGTTCCTTGTTCCAATCTTGATCTTGGGTCTGGCTCTTGTTGTCCGTCAATATACCAAGAAAGAGTAGAAGCTAAGGCTTGCGTTTTGCTTGCCATTGAAATATCTCTGTATTTCTCTGAAGATACTGTTGTTTGGTCCAAGACTGCATCTGCATCTGTCCTTACTGATTATTCTAGTTGAAACTACTACGAACCAGTAATCAATGTGTTGCTAGTTTTGTTGATTCTATGGTGAAATGTTTTTAACTTTGATGATATCTAATAAGGGAGTGCTTCTTTATCAATTGCAAAAAGTTTCGGTTTGTTTTTTTCAGATAGTTTAAATGAAGAAAAGGAAACTGAATTTCTACAATTGAATCTATTTGATCCATACAATTGTGGAGAACGACAGTTTCTGATTCATCCCTTACATTTTCAGAAGGAAGTTTTTCTTTTTCATTAGCTACTACAATAAAAGTGATAGATAGTTGTTTTGTGTTGACCGTGTGACGAGGAAACAAAAAGAAAGAAAAGCTGAGGGACAAGTAAAACCGGTAAGAACCATCACCGAGACAACCTTAAAACCTTGAACAAAACGCAGCCAGACCGAGTGCAAGGGGACCTTTGTGTAGTAGAACACTTCATTTCTGGCTTTGAACATAGACTTCATCAAATGCTCAGAGATTGAGAAGAAAGAGTTTCAATCTTGTCATGTAGCGTCACGACAAGATGATGCGCATCGTCAAGTAGCTTCCAGACATCAAGCTGACCAGCCATGCTATTACACTCCTCCACAATCTCATCCATACTACTGTATTTCTGTATGATCAGTTTCCTACGTAGCACTAACGCAGCGATCGCATAGAGCAACAGATCATCTGTTGGAGGCGCTTGCTGCCTGATTCTGCTCCACGGCGATTTCCCGACACCAGCTCTAATGGCAGCTTGATCAGCCCACATCACTTCCCAGAGACAAAGCGTCTGTTCAAAACTCAACTCCCTCCGAAACATCACTAAAACCATCCTGTAAACGAAGCTACAATCCTCAGCTTGGAGATTCTCCAAGTGTTTGTAAAGCTGAGAGTCTTTGGATTTGATGATCTTTGACACGATACCAAGCTGTCTCTGGATCCCTGCTTCGTCTAGCCTGAAGTTATGCCGTGCTTTCTTCATGAAACCAACAAAGCACCAGAAAGCCTCGTGATCTTCCGAGATCACAGCGAGGATAGGTGATAGAAGATCGCTCATTCCTTGGCAGTAGCCTATCTCAGGATCATAGAGAGCATAAGCTTCAAGAATCGCAACGAGCCGTGCGGCGTGGTAAAGCCTGCAGCTTTCCAAGTGTTCGTAGTCTTTTAAACCAACAGACTCAGCTAAACAGCGAGCTTTGCTTTCTGTGATTGCAGTCGAAGATGGAGAGTAAGTTGCCCAGTCTGAATCCGCGCGTATAGCATCAAGACGGATGATACGTTGCCACGTAGAAAAATCTTCGTGTACAGCAATATCTACTTTGATCTCAGAAGCAGCTACAGGAGAAGAACTATTCTCTTCAGAGTGACTATTATTGTTATCCTCCTTCGGTTTTTTTTCATCGCTGTATACAAAAGATGGAAGTAGCTGAACATCTTCATTGTCTTCACAAGAATCTGTATCAGAAGAATCAGTGTTCACAACAGAGACCACATCTTGAGCTGTCATTTGTCCGGACATCTTATAATCATCCATAAATCGAACACATTGATCGTTTGTCTCCTCAGAAGGAAGTTCCTCCTCCTCCTCCTCAAGATTATTGGTACTTCCATTACCACGCTTGAGAAGCATCTGGCATCGTCTCTGTAGTTTTTCGTACTCTTTCCTACATTCAGAGATCCCAACAATGAAATATTTGTCAACATATACAAACATTGTATGTATCAAAGTATCTAGATCTTTTTCTAACCTTTTTTGAGTTTTAACAGCTTCTCTTTCTTCACTAGTACTGTTCAAATCATAGCTGCAACACATAAAATCAGAGAAAAACAAGTTGAGAATCCAACAGAGTGAAAAAAAAAAACAAGAACAAGAAGAAACACTCACACTCCGAGTAAGAAGAGCCACACTTCTGCACGAATACTTGGATCAGCTCCCTACAGAACCATCATCAAAGCATTATCAGAACCGTAAAGACAAAAGCAAGAATCAAGACATATATATATGGTTCCTTGTTCAAAAGACTCACTCTGCTTCTAACTTTCTTCAGGAACCCAACGCCTCCATCACGGAGTTTGCCCTCCGGTGTAAATAAACTCCTCCACTGATGCGGCGTCAAAGCCCATTTCCTTTTCCGGCGAGACCACGGTGATTTCCGCCGGCTACTACACAAGAAAAAAACCAAGTCAAAATTAGAAGATCCCACACGCTAAATTCCGAACAGATATAGTAAACTTTTTGATCGGACCGAGCTGTGAAGATTTAAATTCGAGCTCAAAACAGAATCTTAAGATCCCATCTACATATTTCCAAATCTAAGAGCTTTAGAGGTCAGGGGAGGACACTCACCGATCGGAAGAAGTAACTGAAGATAGAGACGAAGGATTAGCCACAAAAAGAACCGAACGGAGATGGATCCACGAAGAAGAAGAGGAAGAGGAAGAAGAAGACGAAGAAGAAGAAGAATTAGATGAAGGAGGTGAAGAAGAAGAAGAAGATGATGATGGCAACGAAGTAGAAGACGGTAACGGAGAAGAAGAAGAAGAATTTCCTGAAGACGTTGAAGTATAGCTTCGCCGTAACGCCTTCATCTGATTCTCTTACAAAACTTAAATCTAATCAGACAAAAACCCCAAAGTCTCCGTCTTGCATCAGAGATCTACACAAATCGTCACTTAGATCAACGCCATTCTTCCGTATAGAGTATCGGCGCCGGAGAATTACTCCGCCGGTGACTAAAGCAGATAAGAACGCCGCCGTCTGAGAAACGGCAGCGGAAATCCGGCATGAGAGAGTAAGAAATTGACCGATTTGCCCCCACGATCTGTCTCTATCACTCTCTCTCTCTCTGTCTCACTGTAAATCCTCAAGCGTTTTCTTCAGCACGCCGAAACTGAACAAAATGGAGAAGAAGAAGAAAGAAGAAAGAAGAGAAAAAAAAATGTTAAAGCATCCAACAACTGAAGCCCCTCTTAACCACTTTGCTCTTTCTTTTTCAGCTATCGTCTCTTTTTTTTTGTAATTGTAACTTTAGGCGCGTGGACTTGCGCTTGCTGCTTAATAACTTCACGCGCTTTGGTAGGTGAATTTAGTGATGATAACACGGCGTCGTTTCTTTTTATTAGTCTTCGTTTGTGGAGTTTTACGCGATGAACAAAAATATCAAAATCGGATGTGGCCAAAGAAAAGATGACACGTGTGACGAGTCGAGTAACAGTTAAAAAGTCAAAAGCTATGGATTTTCATTGCGTCTCGCAACTTTACCGCGGCTTTTAAGGAACATAATCATATGATTAATTTTGTAGATTTTCAAGTTAAAAAATTAGCTATGCTAAAAAACAAATCTAATCATAGAATGTTGACCTAATGGACCTACTTCTACTCAATGGTAATCTTAAGATTAGCACCATGGCTATAGATCTAGTTGTTTGTATACAAAATACTCTATTTTAGAATAGTTTTTGTTTGGTAAGATATTGAAAAGTACTAACATATATAGTCAAAAGATTATGTAAGTTGATTTATATATTTTCCGATGTGATACTTTAGATAGCAGAACAACAAAAGTTCATTCGACAATCTTCATCTACATTAATGCAAACCAATTTGACATGATTAGTGTATAATGGTTGGTTTAGAGTGAAATGAAAACCATATTATTAAGATTAAGATTGGATCATATAGTAAAATATCAAGCGTCCATGTATAAGAATGTCTAATGTTATAACTCGATAGTTGAATTACAGAAAAGAATTATCCAAGATTTATTTTCTTATATCGTCTCTTGATTAACATGGTAGCAGAGTACATTACTTAGGTAGTTAGGTTGGTCACTACATCGGCTACTTTTTACTCTCGTATACCTTAAGAAAATTATTGTGGAGAAAATGGTCAGTTAAACAAATCACGTTTGCCTAAGTGAAATACTAAGATAAGGTTAACCAAACAAGAAAAAGGTTTATGGATTAGGAAACGTATTTATCTTATCAGATAAAACGGACCAAGTTAAAAGCCGATTGGTAATCATATCTGTAAACCGAGTCAAGTCAGACATTGAACTAAGCCAAATTAAAACTGCAGAGACTATAAATTTTAGGACAGTTATAAACAAAGACTGAGATTAATAGGATTAAGCAATATGTTTTTATTGTTTATTTTGATCACTTGTGAGTTGTGACTAGTGCGTCGTTAAAGTGTAACGGAATAAAGAGAAAATAACTATCCCTTTCTTTTTTTTTGACTGACATAAAGCCGAAGATATGTTATTAAATTAAATGTAGCCGCGTATGTCATTAACCAAAAAAGGAATATAGTTGGTATTAAATTGCAAAGCATATGGAAAAGGATTATTCCAATAATGTGCTACTAGTAGTATTTTATTTAAATTATTATGAAATATACTTGCATGTTCTTGGAACTATAATTGTTTTAAATGATATTGCGATTAACAAAGAAGAGAAGTTAATGAGGATATTTGAATGAGGAGTTTAAGTTCGTTGGATAGAGAAGACTGCAAAGACTAGTAGCCAAGTTGTAGGTATAAAATAACATTATTATTTTCTAGGGACAAACATTTGGTTGCTTGAAAGATAAGTTATGTCTTTGTAAATACAGAAATTGCAATGACAAGTTTGGCCACTACGGATCAATCGATAACTTTGTTTTTGTTTCCCTCATAACAATGCTGATAATGTCTATCGTCCTAAAATATGAGTATATATTATGGTTTGAATCTGCTATTCCCGCTGCAAACATTCAACACATATGTCTGAATCTAAGATTTAGTGATTACATACAACGTACATGACGAAATTAGTCTGCTTTACTAATGGCCGTTCTATTTTTGAAGCAAACAAGTAGAGATACAGATTAAATTTCTTTAATCATACCACTATTTTTTTAACGGACCAAACCATTTTTTCTTATATTTTTGAGTCCTACCACTACAAACCAAACTTATGTATAGTAAAAAAACGATTTTATCCACAAACGCATTATTTCGTCCGTTACAACCATTCAGTCATATAAACAAATCTATCGAACAATATCGATCGACCATTCATTGTGGATCATAAGTAATATTTAAGTTGCTAAAAGTATTACATAGTGATAGTGTTATATAAAATCAATGAGACTTTTACTCTCAAACGATCTTTTATAGTGAGTAAATTCTATCCATCTTTGTAGATTTGGTTTTGAGTAAAATCATATAAAAACACGAGATTTTGATATTATGCTCTACAAATATGCATAGAAAACCAAGTAGCTCTTGGTATAGTGTCGTATCAGGTTCCTCTCAAAAACATTGGTCCCGGCAAAGGAGACTATAGGCCTTAGCCAAAACTTTATTTACAAATAGAAATGTAATAAAATATATAGGCATAAAAGCTTCTGGAACCAAAAAAAATGAATGCAAGACCTCCAATATAAACTGTAGAACCAATAACATTTTCACCCTCTTGCAGTAAGCAGTATGTATTTGGAGCTATAAGCAAATCAACTAGAGTATAACGGAACGCTAATATAGTCTTTATCATATATTTTTTCACTATTAGTTATGAAATTATACATTGTTAAAATTCCGATCACATTGAGAGCTAGCTAAGGGAAATTTCAGAAACTACTGGTGTTCTTTGACAATCTGTGCATATAGATATAGAGAGAGAATAAATGCTTAAATTCACATCGTTCTCATTTGTGGTCTATGTGTATAAACTCCCTCTCTTATCCTTATCATCTTGTCTGAAAAATGTTTTGAATCATCGACCTTGGTGATTCTTCAGCTGCATATTCCAACTGAAGCTGTTCATCATTTGTCAGTCTCCATCCCATTGCGCCCAAATTATCCTCAACATGTCTAACCGACTTTATCCCCGGAATTGGCACTGTCCCTTTGCATATACACCAGTTTATTGCAACCTCCAAAAAATAAAACAGATAACAAACTCATTCTTCAAAGTGTCAAATTTCTTCTTCCCAAGAATCTTATGAAGTAAAACAAGTACCTGAGGCATAGTCTTTCCTCGTTTTTTTGCTATCTCACTCAGTGCTAAGAGCAGAGGCTCTAATCCAGGAAGAATTTGTCGAAACAGCAATGATCTGTTGAAAAGGTGTTTAAGAACAGTTACAAACTGTTGTTTTATCAATCTTTTGAGCAATCGGATAAGGTTAGAAAATACTTAACCGAGGACCAGTGGGAAGTTTTGAAGAGGAATATTTTCCGGTTAGCATTCCTAGACCAAGAGGACTATAAGAGATCAAACGAATCCCAAGCTCGTCGCATACGCTCTTGATCTCTTGTTGCTCTTTTCCCATGCTTAGCAACGAGAACTGCACCTGAGCAGAACATAAAGGAATCCCTCGGGTTTTGAGGTAATCATGAATCTTCACAAGTTGCTTAGGTCCATAGTTACTGACACCAACAGCTCGAACTAGCCCCTGAGAACAATGAAACCTCTTCATCAATTTTGCAAAGGGCTTAACGGTGACAATTGTTATTCAGTAGATGTTCAAAGCAACCTTCTCGTACATTGCCACTAGACCATCCCAAAGAACAAGCTCTTGTAGAGGCGCGTAGTTTGCGGTAGACCAGTGAAGCTGTCCGATCCCAAGCTGGTCTATCTGAAGCCGGTATAAAGAAGCTCTGATACAAGAAAAGAGCAATCGATAATCACATCAATGTCCAACAAACCAGAAGTAGAAAGATAGACAGAGACAAAATCAAGACCTGCAAGCATTCACAAACTGTCCTGAAGTTAACCGCCATGGATAAGCTGCAAACTTTGTAGCTATCACAACTCCATTTTGTTTCCCATTCAAGGCTGACATTCGCAACCAGAAATCATCAGCTTAAGCACAATTAACTAGTTGCATCACCAAACACAAACAGTTACATATCAAACAGCTCCAAAATGTAATTTGAAACCAATTCAGAGGTAAAATTACTAAATTTATCCTAATGAATCAGAAAGACAGAAACTTTAGACCAGGAAAACCCACAACGAACACAGTTAACTACTTAACTAAGCCCATGATTGGGGGAAATCAAAGAGAGACAGACCTGGAGATTCTTTGATGAATTTCCCCAAAAGTCTCTCGCTTTGGCCATTAAGCCTACCAGTGCCATAAGAATCAGCAGTGTCGAACAGATTGATTCCGTTTTGCAAAGCCAATTCGAAAGCTTGTTGAAGCTGATCGTCCATGGAAGTCTGGTAACCCCAAAGAAGCTGATTGCCCCAAGCCCATGTACCAAAACCCATCGGAGAAACACTCAGAGGCCCCATTTTGACCTAATACATCGGTCATCAATCCAATTACTATCGAAAAGAGAAGCCATTGATTATCGTTATGTATGTATCGGCGTGTGTACCTTTTGCCATGGCCAGAAAAGAGGGAGCTTGGGGGGCTTAAAGGTGGTTATGTTTGAAGGATTGCCCGAGCAGTTTATGCTGGTGAGGGTCTTTGTGGTGGACAATGTGAACGCCATTGAAAAGGATTCTAAGTGTCAGAGAGTGGAGAAGAAGGCTCTGAAGCCTCCTCTCTCATTATGTGGCCCAAAAAAAATAGGATATATCTTTTGTGATAACTCTCTACGCTTTGTCGACCCAAAAAAAAAAAAAAGAAATCTCTACGCTTTACGTTTTGTAATTTTTATTTTGACATTTATAGGGGGATTTTTTTTTGTCGACGACATTTATAGGTAATCTATTCTAGTTTTGTTTTGTTTTACATATGTTCAGTTTAATTTCAATCATTTTAGTACCTACATATATTGCATGCATCTCATAAATAGTACGTGGTACCTACAATTTAGTGCAGGAATCATAATCCAAATATTTATAGACCTTAACGAATACTTAAACTACAAACCACATAACATAATAAAGATCTTCTGATAAGCTCCTAAACAAAATGAACCAAATATTTATAGATCTTTTGATAAGTTCCATGATAACCCCTTATGTATGTCTAATA